ATTTAATAAGGATTAGAAGCATGTGCCACTGTTCAGTAGTGTAGGGTTTTTTAGGTTTCAGTAGTGTCGTTATTGGAGAGGACCATTGATATGTTTTTTCAGTGCTTAGTCATAATTTCTTTAGCCTTTGTTGACACTCCATGAAAAATACAACTTTTATTGTTGTACACTGCAGCCAACCTCGATAAATGTAGAAACTAAGGAAGAGAGAAATTGCCAAAATTTAACAAAACTTTGCTGGCTTATTAAGCTGATAGCATGTGTATGTCCTATATAGCAACATTTTTAATAAATTTGTATTTTTAATAATATTAAAACCACACTACCGGACAAGGTTAAGCTCAACTAATAATTCCATATTTATTTTTTTCTATAATTTAAGATCTGTTGGATTTCCATCCAGGTTTATCTGAAGAAGAGCGTCGTTTCTACATAAGGGCATATCCGAATGTTGATCTGGTGCGAGAGCGCAAGGTGCATTGTACTATTTGTAAGATGCATATCGGCACTGCCCCAATCCAAGAAGATATCATCAAAATGCATCCGGTGCTGCGTGTAACACACTGCACCAAATGTCATGATTTCTACAATAGCGGTGAATTCAGTAAAGGCGAGGATGGCTCAGAGCTATATTGCCGCTGGTGTGGGCAAGGCGGAGAGGTTTATTGCTGCTCAAGCTGCCCTTATGTGTTTTGCAAGTCATGTATCGTTAAGAATTTGTCTCGCGGTGTTGTAGCCGACATTGAACAAAATGAAAATTGGAATTGCTTCAGCTGTGCACCGAAAATACTTTGGCCGTTGCGAGCGCAGCACTGGGCATTGATTCGCTATATAGATAAACAAAAGAAGTGAGATTTTATGCGATTTTTTTTTAAGCAAAACATGTTTAACTAATTTTTTACATTTGTTATAGGCACATTGAGGCAACATGCCTTGGTGAAACTGAAAAGAAAACGCTCATGGCACAAGATCGCTCTACTTGCTGTCGTCTAGCCAAGTCTAAGTGTGGCAACATGTCGGACTCTATGGAGAGTTTGGATTCTACGGCATCACGTCGCAGTCACAATAGCACCAGTGCAAAGAAGCAATCAAAATCGCCTGGTTCGCATCCACAAACACCCGCTGCCAAGCGTATGAAAACATCAAATGATGAAGTCGTCTGCACTCCCGATTTGTTGAGCATGTTGGAGCCTGATTGTCAAATTACTGTACCACAGAAGACCCGCCCTTCTCCGTCGCCAATGACGTCTACACCGAAGATAATATCCTTGCAATCCAATGCACAGGCTCAAAATAGTAGTGGCATGACTCTAAAACCACATAACAATACACCACCGCCATTGGTGTTGCGTAACACCGGCATACCAATGCGACATCCTTCGCCTGCACCTGTGGTGCGGCGTACAATTATTGGTGCACGCAATGCTACATCGACTGGAAATCATACACCCGTTTATCATACCATTAATGGCTATCGCATCGATTTGAATTCAGCAGCCCAGCAAGAAACATTCCGTTTACCAAATGGCAAGCTAATACAAGTGAAACGCCAGGGAACAAACAATGTTCAGGCCGCCACTTCACCACAAGTGGGTAATAACCCTTGGATGCGCCAGGCAAGTCCAATTGCGTCTATACAGCACGCTGCATCTGGTCGTCCTATACAAATAACCCCAGCTAGTTCACATGCGACACAACACTACTATACAGTGCAGCAGCAGCAGCAACAGCATCATCAGCAACAACAACAACAGCAGCAGCAGCAGCAGCAACAACAACAACAACAACAAAATGCAATGCACCACCCACAAATGATACGCTACAGCAATACCACAGTTACACCAGTTGGTGGTCAAAATGGCGCTGTCAGGGCCGCACAAATACAGGTGATTAATGGCGTGCCAGTAGCACCTCACGTTGCACAAACAGCAGCACCAAATGCAAATGTCGCTACCACAGCTCGGGCGCCACTCATGGTGCGTCATGTCTTCCCTGACACGGCCTTCGGTCAAGCACGCACTCAGCTTCAAGAACAAGTATTCAATGCCATGGAAATTTGCCAACATCTAACTGGCAAAGTGCAAACACTGACCAATTCGAATGCCTACAAGACGGCACGTAATTACCTCGAAGTGAAGGAACTCTACATCCATCTTTCATATTTGTTAACCTACGCAATTGGACGCTTCAAGGGCTTGCAGGATAAATGCTTAGCTGATATGCGGCAATTGGGCTTCGTTAAAGATGCCGATAGTTTGGATAATGGGCAGTTGGCAGCAGGTAGGTGATCATTTAGTTTTCGTGTTCAGTGAATGTAAGGTAAACATACATATGTTTAAGCTTTAAATCGTATTGCGAATAACAACAAAAACATAAATTTATGAACATATCAGATAACCTAAAGCTTAACGGATTGGTAGTTATAGGTAGCTTTCAAACGCATTAACCTTTGCTGTATAAAAAATAAAACCGATCGATGGTATTTTTGTCATTAAACCAAATTATACGCGGCTCATTACTTTTCAGTCATTGTCTTGAGTCATTTGTTGTGCACATGGACTGCGTACTAATTTTTATAATTATATAAGTGTGTGAAAAAGATGAAAATACAAGAAGAAAAACTCGGTCCCTAATACCGAAAATGTAAGTACGAAACAAAAAGCGAATGTTTGATGCGTTTTGAGTTCAATTTCATTGACTTTCAGCAAGCCAACTCTTCTCTATTCGCTAAAAATTTCACACGAAGAGTATTTACATGGACTACAATCAATGAAATGTTTACGAGTTTTTTTTTTTTTGTGAAGCTGGATTTAATGAAGTTTACAAACGATCCCAGATGCTTGTATTACAAAAGAATTTTTTTTTTTAAGTTTTAAAACATCCTTAATTTGTACGCATCCTCTAAGCTAAGTTGCAGATTTTGTATTTTTATTAATATCACATCTTAAAGTACAATTAAAATTTTACATATTGGAAAGGATTTGGAAAACTCCCTTAAGACTTCTTGACGTTTTACAAAATTATACGCTGTACAGTTAGGATAACAAAGATACCGCAAAAATAACTAAATCATCAGTTGTTGCCTAGTTCGGCTAGTATATTCATCGTCGTCAAGCCACTTATGGTAGGCCCATTAAACTTGCTTCTTCGACAGGGTCGGACCAAAGGGTTGTTGTTGTTGTAACGGCATAGAGATTCCCCAAAGAGTTTTTGGGGAGTGTGGAGTGGAGTGCCAGTCCTTGGCCAGATATAAATCTGGGTCGTTCCGGTTACGTAGACCCGACTGTCGTGGGACCAAAGGGTACGGGGTGTTGACTAAGTCAAGTGAAGATGTAGTTGGTGTCATGTGGGGTGCCTGCACAACCTACTACTGTATCTAAACCATAAATGACGTGCGGGGTGAGTTTTTGATTAGGTTAGCTCCAAATGGAGCTGAGATGCTCCTGGGCTGCTTTCTTGCACTGGCGTTTTGCGTAACTTGAAGGCCGTGCAGGGAGAGGGTGCCGTATAGTGTTACTCTTGTACTCCAGTTGCAAGAGATCCATCTAGCCAGGGTAAACTTCGGTTTTTAGTTCGGAGTTGGACTCAATGCAGGGACGGATAACGACTGGTATAGTTTGGTTACCCAAATAGGGTTAGGCCGCTAAGAAGCCAAAAGATGAGTTTTCCAAACCTTTTTAAATCATACTAAAAACCCTCGCTCATATATTGTGTATGAAAACTTAGTACGCGCCATTCTAATCTCAAAATATGCGAAATAACAAGTGGTCCATGTGTTAGCAAAATGTCTGAAGGCAATGAAATTCGCAACTCGATAGCATTCATAGCAGCATCAAATAAATAATTAAATGCAATAACTTAAATAATGCACATTTCAGGCGTCGACTATGTCCGTTATGGTCAACTTGAAGATATAGATCTTTTCAATACCAGCTCAAATAGCTTCCATAATCAGGTATATGAGTATCGCAAGAGTTTGTATGCGAATTTGGAGAAAGGAAATGGTGACAGTAAGAAACCGCCTTTGTCTCCGCTAATGCCGCTGGGTCAAAGTAGATGCAATGCTGATGTCGATGCTGGTGAAGACGACGAGGAGGATTATGGCGATATGAATGATGAGACAGGCGAAACCAGCTGGATGAAAAACAACAATGATACAAGGGCTGTGGGTGATATGACACAAATGGAGTCCACCTACAAAGAACCAGAGTCATCATATTATGATAATGAGACGACATTCGATGAAACTGCAAATGAAGATGTGGACGCGACGGCAGAAGTTGATTTGGAGGATGAGGAGCCCGACGCCGATGTAGCTGATGATGGCGGTTTCGAACAGTATGCCGCACAACAACCGTCACGTTACAGCAACAAGGCACATTATGGTACTGAGGATTACATGAGCCACGAAGAGCAAACACATGCACGCGATCGCAAATTGGCGCGTCTCATACAACAGTATCCGGCTATTTGGTGTACACGCCATGCCGATTATGGCAACTTCGAAGTAACACGCAAGCACTGGCGCACCATAGCATCACATTTCAAGCGCACCGAGAACATTAAGTTGCGTTGGAAGAATATACGCAAGCGTTATGTTCGAGTGGAGCGACGCGTACGCGAAGGCAAGCGCTTCAATGGCTACTTTGACAAGACCACAAACTTTCTGGCCAATCGCGATTTGCCCGAAGATCAGTGGGTCGAGGTGGATTGCGGTAGTGAGGATGGTGATGGTTTCGATCGCAAACAACTCGACGTGATCGAAAAGAAACTACATAAGGACGAGAAATCACGATTATGGAACGAAAATAATGGTGGCGATGCTGGTGACAATTATGGCATACCATCGGAAGATAGTGAGAAACCAATTGAAGTGCGAGCTTTGGATATGAAAATCATAAATTTTGTCAAATGTAATCCGGTGTTGTGGCGTAAATCCCCTGATCCGCAATATAATCACATCGACGAACAATCACGAAAGTCGCTTTGGGTACACTTGTGGAAAACAACGCGACTGCAAAGTAAATACAAATGTGCATACGTATACATATATGGGAATAATTAATACATTTATGTGTGTGATGTGTGGAACAATTATTTTTTTCGTCTTTGCAGATCTAACTTGTGAAGATATAATGGATCGTTGGGCACATCTTTACGAAATGTATAAGTCTTTTCGCTTAAAAACCATCAAGGACGAAACAAAGAGGGCTAATTTGGAATTAAAATATTCAAAATATCTAGCCAAACTCTATTTTCTATACAAAATTGTTGAGGAAGATCTGCGCAATGAGCATTGCAATAATATTGACATTGATTTAACGAAAGATATGCCCGAAAGTGAGCGGCGTATGCAAGATGATCCGGATGATAAGGAGTTTATGGTGCAACTGGTGCGTTGTGTGCAACATTACAGCATGCTGTGGGATAAATTGAATATAGACTACTATGATACAGTGTTGCGCTCAAATATTTGGCAAGATATTGCTAGTGAGTTAAAGGATTTCAAACGTAAGTGAATTCGTTCGTGGGTTAGAGATTCAATAGTATAGTGATTAAAATCTCATTTTTGTACACTAGGTAATGCTGAAACTATTAAAAAGCGTTGGCAGCTTGCCCTCTTCAGCTATCAGCGTTATAGGCGCGATCGTCGCACATTCCCGAAGGATAAACCATTGCCAAAATATTGCCGAAATTTACCAGTGGATGAAATGTTTTTCCTTGATTGAAAATACGTGAAATAGATCTCCTTTTATTAAGAAAAAAGTATATGCATATATGTATAAGAATGAATTTAATTATAGCATTCACATCATGTAGTCCATACTCGTATTAAGCTTTCATGATACATTTAAAAAAATTTTATATAAAATTTAATCGTGGTATTTTCATGGCCAAAATTATTATAATTTGGAATTATGTGTTTAAAAAGCATCCCATGGTGTGTGTGTGCAATGCAATGATAAGGGCGTGCCTCGCCAAATTTGCGCGCTTATTGCTATCGATGCTCGAATAGGGACAAAAAAACTGCTGAAATAGCGTTTCTTAAGAAAGCCTTTTCTAAAAGAAAAAGCTAATTGCTTAAGAAAAAAACAATTAATTTTAAGTCTTTATGAAAAGAACATCGGGTTTAATGCTGACCTGATTAAAAATGTAAAATTTTAGGTTATTTTCAATAATTTTATAAAAACGTATTATGTATTTCAGTAATTTTTTTATTAGAATTAATCATTAAACTCATATAACACCATGCTTGCATGTACGTACGTACGAACATATATTGATCTAACTTTTATAAATTAATGATTACGCAATTAAAATATGTTTAAATACAAAAATAATTTAATCTTTTAAAGCTTAAATAATATATCTACTGAACCCCCCTTTTTACCAGAATGCTCGTCCTTTCGACAACTCCATGTGAGTTATTCGCTCAGAGAGACGGAAAAGCAAAGTGTTTTGCTGCCAAATCGGGAAACAAAACAACATGACATTTTTCCGTGTGAATACTCAAAAAGTACTTTTTGTCACTTTTCGGAAATTAATTTCGAAACTAAAACTCGCTCGTGCGGTACTATGTAGTAATGTTGATTTTTCAAAGCTCACTTTTCGGAAATCAAAAACTAAACTTTTTGATACTGTTGAGTTTGACGCACATTTAGAAATTACTTGCATTACTTGCGAATTACTTGCAACAGTGTAATCTGCTTTTAAAATGTTTGTGCTTAATTGCTGTGATATCTCTTTAGTGCCCGCAAATGCTAGCTGCACATTAAATTTATATTAAAATGATTTTCTTTTTTTTTTTATACAGAAAAACAAGCCAGTGATGATGAAGATAACGAAATCGAGATTGTGGAGCCTAAAACGGACACCATTACACTGGATTCGGACAATGAAGATGACGAGCCAGCCAAGCAAACAACAGCCGCTTCATTTAAGAATGCACCAATCTTATCAATCAATAATAGTACTCCTACTTCCAGCAATATCTCAGTGCAGCTTCAGCCGCAGCACCAATCAACTAACAATGACGTTAGCTGCCCAAACATGAAACAAGTGTTGCTTCTTCCTAAAAGTACTTCAATTTCGACCATTACACCAATGCCCAGTCTATCCAATGCTGCTGCTGCTGCTGCTGGTGCCGCTGCCGCTGCTGGTGCCGCTGCGTCCTATGAAGATAACACCGCCTTGGTAAATGAGGCTAACAATGATAAAATGGAGGAAATCGATATATTGTCGGCGGCGAGAACTTTTCTTGTTAGCCTCTTGGAAGTGGATTCTGATGCTGCTGATGGCGATTCCATATCACAGCAACAGCAGCGCAAGCAGCCACGCAAAAAGACTACCAACAAACCGAATCCAACTTTGCTGAAACAGAAGGAAATGCTCGAACGCGAACGCTTAGAGGAGATGAAACGTAGCGATTTGAAACTCAAAATGAAGTGTGCCATTTCGTTGAAAAAGGCAGAAGAAGAATTTCCATTTGCTAAAGATATGCTGGAGAAGCACGAGAGCG